TCTCTCTCTCTCTCTGTCTCTCTGTCTCTGTCTCTGTCTCTGTCTCTGTCTCTGTCTGTCTGTCTGTCTGTCTGTCTGCCTGCCTGTCTCTCTCTGCCTCTCTGTCTTTCTCTGTCTCTCTCTGTCTCTCCCAACGTCTGTCTGTCTGTCTGTCTCCCGTCTCCCTCTCTCTCTCTCTCTCTCTCTCTCTCATTCACACCCGAACTAATCTCGCATCTCGCACCCCAACCGCACGGATACCCAAGCAGAAGGGACGATGGGCCTCGACACCATGGTAGCACCTTCCCTGACTATCGGCGACCGGCTAGAAACCAATAATAAAAACGTCCACGTGGAGCTGCAACTATCGAATACTGCTTTCGAACCTCCGGGGTGGGAGCTGTCGCCTTTCGCAGGTGCTTCATTCACAGCCGGGGAGAGACAGCTGCCCCGTCGCAGTCATCGCACCCGCATGTGTATGCATCCAGGCTCTCCCTGGCCTCGGCCTCCATCTTGCCATGCGTGTCTAACGATCACACAGACGGCACGGCGAGAGCCACGAGAGGGGTGGTCAAACAAACATAACAAAGGAGGACCTATCGTATGTAAACATCGCCCTTGCGTGATAAAAAGAAAACTCACTCTGTCCGTGGAGAACGATGTTCGTCTCCACATGGCTCGCCGTCAACCTGAAGACGGCGAGGCAGGAGTCCTCGAACGGACATTAAGCGGCCTGGTGCTTGACCCCTTCGAACGTCTGGATTGACACCCTCGTCCTGCTAGGAGCACTATCCAGGGGCCGGCTGTTCTTCGGTGTCCAATCGGTCGTCCTGCCCCCCTCCCTGCCGGGGTGTTTTTGTTCGCAGACTGGTCGCGGGTTGTGTCAGATAAAAAAAAGGTTACGTCGACTGGACAAAAAGGTGTTTAATATACTGCCCGGGAACCAAAGCTTCTTACAGGACGAGCACAAACAAAAATTATTAGTTTGTCATGACCGCACGACACCACCCAAGGGAGTAAGAGATTCAAAAACAAACGCGCTGCGCGAAACAACAAGCCGCGAACAAACAGCAGTAGAAGATGCTGGGGGCCACCCATTCGACGCCTCACTTTCGCCGTGGATCACGGAGCCGGACTTCCATAGGTTCCCGCCTCCTCGCGACAGCGAGGTGTCGCGAGTGCACGGGGGATCGGCCATCTTGTCGATGTCCGTGTTTTTGAGGTGGGACACCGGGGACCCGTTCGAGTCCTGCTTTAGCTCGCCGAGTGGAGTCCTCAACTCCTTCTTGCGGTGGGTAGCTCGGTCTTCCGAAGCTGTTCGAAGGTATTCGGGTGCACCCTCCTGGTAGACGGGTCATGCGCATAACTAGGAGTCGGTCGATGGGAAACAGGTCTGTACACCCCCGCGGGATCTATACCCATGCCATCGTACACAACGAAAATATTTCGACCTGATTCTGACGGATAAAAAAAATGCGTTTCTTTCCCCCACCCCACAAAGAAGGTTAGTTCCCTGTACTGTTATTTTGTGTGTTAGGTTGCCCTCGGATTGAACAGTCCGGCACGTCAGTGTCAAACACCATTTCAAGACGCTCCTCAGCGGTGAAAGCTGTTTCTGAAATTGAACCAACCGCATGTCAGCACAACAAGACGGAGCACACACACGCACAACAGGTCGCGGCGGATAGCTTTACGGTTGGTTGATGTACGATATCAGGGAAGCGCTCAATGACGTAGGGGGTTGAAGTGGGAGGCGAGAGCAAGCACAAACGGCGAGCATCGCGCGTGAGAGAGCTTCTTTCGGCCTTCATTTTGTTTTTTTGCCTTTCCCTCTTTTGAACGATGTAAGACTGAACCTAATGCTCCGCCATTTCCTTTTCTGATCACATCGACAACAGAAAGACTGTTTCTCTCTCGTGATTCGTGCGCGCGCGGGGGTTATAGAAGCCGAAATCAAACCATTAGACTAGTCAGCGCTGACTAATCTAATGGTTTGATATCGGCTTCTAGAAAAGGTCACGAACCCCGCAACTAATTTTTATAGAAGCCGAAATCAATCCATTGACAAGTCAGCGCTGACTAATCAAATGGTTTGATTTCGGCTTCTACAAAAGTTAGTCGTGGGGTCCGTGAGCCCCGTCACTTTCACTTCCGGGGAGGGTGGCTCCCCTTGCCAGCGCTACTATAATCCGTCCAACCTTTGTTTCGCTTCATATCACTCGCAACCCACATCCTGCAGAATATTCCAGGGTCCACGAGTCCTTCTGTCACCCATACTCTGGCCGGGAGTATCCGGGGTCTCAGGGAAAAAAACACTGCAAAGTGTCCAGCCTGGGTCTCAAACCCACCACTAACTCCGTTAACGCTGACCTGTCTAGACTAATGGTTTGATTTCGGATGGATGTGGATGGCGAGTGATATGAAGCGAAACAAAGATTGGACTGATAGTAGCGCTGGCAAGGGGAGTCACCCTCCTCGGAAGTGAAAGTGACGGGGCTCACGAACCCCACGACTAACGTTTAGTCTATAGAAGCCGAATGTACAATTAGACTAGCGAGCGCTGACTAGACTAGTCTAAATGGTTTGATTTCGGCGTATATAGGCCCCGCTAGCATGTGAACCATTCGAGGAGGAAGCCCCATGGGAAGAAACCTTTCCTGGCGCCGCCAGCTTCACGGTCTTCACAAGGAGACACCAGCAGAAAAGAGTGGTGCCTGCATGCGGGGACAACGCCGCCAAAGGCCGACACGTTGTACCTATGGTTAGAGGGACCGGATAGCACAGAACGCGCCACCTGTTACTGTGCGCATCCCTCGCTCATTTTTCGATCGGTTAGGAGACCAACTGGGAATAATATTAGTTGTGGGTTAGGGCTTGTCGTCGCTCCTGCGGACTCTCTGGCGAGATGTTTTCCTCGATTTTCACCCACCGAAACATGATTATCCGTATCAGCTCTTCCGTAAAACGAATCGGCGCCACATCAACCATGCTCTAATAACATGTGGGTTCTCCGCCCACGTACATAGACATCTACACACAGCGCCACAATGGTTTCATATTCGAAGGTGATTCAAGCGAAGGCGTTTGGTACATGTCGACACCGCCGCGCCGAGGGAGAACGAAGCAGTTTCGCTGTAACGAGTGAGCGCTGGTGCAAAGAATTCTAGCTGGTGGGTATGAAATAACTGTCGTAACAAGACATACAGCAGTCAGTCAACGGCACTGTTCTCAAACTGTTGTTCCCTCAAACCTAGGGTCCCCGGTCAGCACAGCGTAACCTTTATCTCCAGGGCTACGTCAAGAAAAGGCTTTAGTCCCCCAGGACCCAAGGCACAGTAGTTTTCTACACACACCTCCCAGATTGCCGGAATGTTGATATTCACTGTTTTTTAGGACAACGACAGCCAGCAACACGACAAGCAGGGGGATGGTTGGAAGAGATTATGAAAGCTTCATTCCGGAAGAAACAGAAGGCGTTTGTGCAGGGGTCTTTTCTCAGCGAACCCGGGCGTATACTCCTGACAAGAGGGTGGCAAACCGCTTCGTCTCATCGCTTGGTTTGTTTCTGTTCCGGTTGATCTGATGTGAACGAGGGAATCGTCCTCGACGGACGCTGAGGGGTTGAGATCCTTATCGTGGACTCTCGACGACGGGGCGAAGGTTTGCGCACGGTGACCCCTTTTCTCCAGCACGCCAATGATGGCAACGCCCAACACCTGCTGCTTCGTTAGAAGAAGTAGAGTCACCATCGATGGGGACGGCTGTACCGTATGGGCAGAGCAAGGAAAACCGAAGAGCAAGGAGCACCGACGCGCTCGTCGGGGGAGGAGTGGTGCTATTTGCTAAAGCACGATCGAAAGGGTACATACATCGAAGCGTGACCGCCTCCGTCGCTCTTGTGTCTTGTGTCTCTCTGTCCCGCCGTCGGTGAAACTCGCCGCACTGCCGAGCACAATCGCATCCACGACGGTTTATACTGAAAGGGGACTTTTGTAGTCCGTAAGCGTGCTGTAGAGCCAAGGCAAGAAATTTGCTGCTGCTGCTGTTGCGAACCTGATGTCTCAGGTACACAAGATATCGCATGCCGGCCTGTGTGCAGGAAGATGCTGTGGTAGACTCGGTGGTCGCCAGTTCTGAGAGCAATTATTGTTTGAAATTGGATTGGGGGGGGGGGCGACGGCGGAGCCCCCGTTCCGAAGGCCTGGCTAGCTGTGGCTGCTGCGATCAGTCCCAGAACAAAGCGACCCGCATTGATGTTGAGGCGGTGCCGCGGACCTGGTGGTCTCCGCTAGACTCCTTGATGGATCACGACACTGCTGCAGAGCACAGCTTGAGAGAAACAGGGGGCGCGGGCAGCTCGAGTCCTCCGGCAGGCGACAACAACGACGACGGAACCTCCCGCCCCGACCAGCAGGCGCTCCGGGAGAGTCATGACATGAACCAGGCAGCCCCCGCCGCTACCGTGCCGCCAGTCCTACCGAGTCATGAGCTACCGGGCACTGCAGTGGGAACCCTGCCGCTGCAAGGCTTCGAGGTAGCGCTGCAGGCGTCTGTAGGTAGCGGGGGCGAAGCACCCACCGAGCTCAATGCGACCAGTCTCGAGAGCATGATTCTACCCATCGGCGAGGAGTATTTAGTTGTGTACACTCTCTTCTCTAGTCTATATCCCAGCAGCAGCATATATGACGACTATTAAATAGGAACAGCGGCAAGTTCATTCGAAAATAACAATACGCCAATATAATAACAGGCGTCTTCCTGAACGCTTCTCTCAGAATGGCGGCGAAAGCAACAAAAGCTCGTACATACATCGTTACCTGCTGCTGTGCCGCACGAATTGGGTACATTTAAGATAACTCCCCACGCCTGCCTAGACATATGTGGGTTGCAACGCGCTGTAAAACACGCCACCCCAAATATAGCCCCCAAAGTATGCGCTACCAAAGACGCGTGACGCATGGACGAGTGGAGTGAGGATGGCTGTTTTACGGAAACCTCACAGGTTGAGTAATGTATGAGATTGCCAGACACATCGACGTGTTGAGTGATTATAGCTGTATACTGGAACCTCAAGGGTTGAGTGAGGTTTGAGATTGCCAGACACATGGACGGGTTGAGTGGGGATAGCTTCATACTGAAAGCCTACGGGTTGAGTGATGTTGGAGTGCCGGACATATAGATGCATTGAGTGGGGATAGACACATGCTGAATCTCACAGGTGATTTGTAATGGAGATTGCCGGACACATCGACGTGTTGAGTGAGGATAGCTGCATACTGAAACCTCACAGATGGATTGGTTTTTGAGTTTGCCGAACACATAGACGCGATGAGTGGGGATAGCTTCATACCGAAACCCCACCGGTTGAGTGATGTTGGATAGTGCCAGACACATAGACGCTTTGAGTGAGGATAAACACATACTGAAACCTCACCGGTGATTTGTATTGGAGATTGCCGGACACATGGACGTGTTGAGTGGGGATAGCTGCATACTGAAACCTCACGGGTTGAGTGACGTTTGCGATTGCCGGACACGTAGACGCATTGAGTGAAGAAAGGCGCGTACTGAAACCTCACAGGTTGATTTGTATTGGAGATTGCCGGACACATAGACGCGTTGAGTGAGGATAGCTGCATACTGAAAATCCACAATAGCTGTAGTGAAGGAACAATTCGAGAACGCAGTACACATAAAACCGACCCCCAATCCGTACGCGAACCCCCCCTGAAAAATAGAGCCCATGCGCCCCCCACCCCCTCTACCTCCCCCAGAGGATGAGGAGGGTACAATCCAAAGTAAGCACAAGCTTACCTACGGTTAATGCCTATTGGTACGCCATTAAAAAATACTTAAGTCCCGCATTGGGCGGTGGAGGACTTAGAGCTAAGACACCCCAAAACTCTCCGGCGTGAGATCCAAAATGGATCGGACGGTGGA